AAATTCGATGTAATCTGCAATCAAATGAATTGTTTTTCTCTCCCGTTGACCCCACGATAATAGGATGATCATTGAAAAAGACCTTAAAATCACAAGCGCCAACAGCGAGTAGAACATTATTTGGATGCCAGTCAATGCATGAAACTGTTGATCGAATTGGTTTCTTGATCTGTCTGGATACCCACCAATCATTCTCCTTCTCGTAATAACAAACCGATACCAACTTTGCACCACTTCCGACCGCGAATTTATTTTCTAAAACGAACTTAATCAGACCTACTGAGTTGCTCGAATAGCATTCTCAACAATTCAAACGTGAGTGATAAATTTTCCAAACCGGCATTGACTTAATTACAAATTTGTTTCGCCAAATTGATTCAGATATCGATCAATTCATATATTCTGAATTAAACTACCTAATGGAGACCACTTCACACAAGTTGCAGCACGATTGATTCTCACTAGTACCAACTCTGGCTTCCAATGATCACCATCCAATGTCCACACAAATGCATTTTTGTCCTTCAATTACTCGATTTACTTTATTACTGTTAATTGCCTGGTATTGTTATTATTATTTATTATTAATGCTGTAGTCACAAGTGATAATGTTTCATTATCGTCATTCCCAATATTGTCAATAAAATCACGAATGTTATTGATTCAGATTCTCCCACATCAAAATGATCATGCCACTTATTAACATTATTACATTCTGAATGAAATACAGCCGCGACGACATAGAACTTTTCAATTTTGAAGCGCTGGCAATGGAAAAGACATTAGGTCGCACAAACCTGTGAGCAAGAAACAATTCGGTTGGTATTTGGTGCCCAGTCGAGGCCAGTTATCGGCAGATCGTGTTCTTTTAAGGTGTGTATCAGTTTCCACTGGCCAGCTTGCCAACGAAATATTAGGATCTCATTATTTGACGGTGAAACTGCTAACTCTATAAAGAACTGAATCAGTCATTACTCGCAATTATACATTCATCAACAATAACTTCACAAACACTCACAATACTCATTATTGTTGCAGATTGAATATGACTGTTTCAACATATAGATAAATAATGATTTAAGAAGTCAGTGTTAAACACGCATTGTTAGTATGATGGAAGTCTTTGTGAACCAAATTATTATCCCAAACAACGTTCATTATACGAATCACCAGATTGGGATATGAGTGATAAATAAGAGTTGAAACTGACGTGAGCGATCCTTATTCCAAGCATGACATGTTATCGGACCAATCCCCAGATTCCAGTGTTGTACAGGAAATGAAGACATCTTTTCTGGGTGATGTGCTTTAGGTGAGCCACCTCAATGCATACTAGATTCAGTACAACTTTACGACGCATTCAAAGCAAGCAATTTTTTATTACTCAAAACTCGAAGCAATCCACACTGATGGTTGCGCAAAATTCGACCTATTGTAAACAGCGTCTGAGGAATCATTATTTTTGTATGAATACATGAATTTGTGACTGCGTGATCCAAATTGTTGCAACTTTAATCACTGAACGTTTGTACGGCATACGGCTTTCACCAGTAAATCTACGCAAATGCAACAGCTATTTCATGTGAACATTTCTTCCGCGGTCTAAACAGCCAACTTATAATTATTGCAACTCCTAAAGAGGAAGAATATGAAGAAAAGCCGAGAATAAGCCTCGTTTGATAAAAAAACGACTTTCAGCAACTGCACATGTAGGAGAGCACAAATAACCGAGTAGTGTTGCAATGAAAGCAAGTCTCCATTCCTGAAAAACTTTTGAAATGCGAAAATTTACTGCATTCCGCAACACACATAAAACCAGAGAAATGCAACTACATTGAATTTTTTGAAAAAATTTCATGACTCATATCAGATGATGGTGAACAAGTGAGCGAAAATTCGCACGGATAGATTTGGTTTGATTCTCGTTGGGGATGGAATATACTTGCATCACTGTTTACTTCTTCAGGCGGATCAGTGCAACTTCAACGATGACGCTTAGTTACGTTAGCTCATTAGGGCAAGGTTTCTCAACACGGAGTGCTCACCCCCCAACGGGTGCGAGATGATGTTCCAAGGGATGTGAAATCCGCTGATCAAAACCGTCTCAGAAAGGCAAAATCACTCACTGAACAAGGGTGATGCACGATTCACTTTGCAAATGATGATGTAAAGAGATCGCTCTTGAAATGTCATCTGCAT